GAGAGAGAGAGAGAGAGAGAGAGAGAGAGAGAGAGAGAGAGAGAGAGAGAGAGAGAGAGAGAGAGAGGGAGAGAGAGAGCTGCGTTTGCCTTACGGTTGCCATAACGTCCGGCAAAACTTACCTAAGTGGCTACTGTTTGGTTGAGCAGTGGGAGGCCAGGTCGGTTGTTGTCTGTGTCCTTTTCTCCCATTTGTCTGTGAAGTTGGGGTCTAGATCTCTTGTATTAGGGCATTATATACAGCAACATTATGTGTCAGTCAAGTGTTGTTAAACACATGCATCGGGACTCATTCTGGACCCTGTGCATTTCTAGTTGGCTTGACAACTTGCATGCAAGCAAATGATTTGCTGAACGGCAGATCGAAAGCTCAAATCTTACAACGCACAATCCAGCGCATGGGGCTCGATTTTGATTGGTTGGCTACACACCTTCTGGAACTGTTTGTTAATAAACAGTTCCAGGTGTGTATCCAACCAGCTCACATCGGCTAGATACAGGTAATGAGCTCAAATCGGATAGATACAGGTCATGAGGTCGAATCGGATAGATACAGGTCATGAGCTCGAATCAGGGCCTCGCCACGCGACTCTCGAAATGTGGAGAAGACAAAATTGTGGAGGATGCATGTGGCCACGTTCTAGCAGGAAGTTCATTCTCATTTTGCGCATTTCGACAGTGGTGCGGCGATGCCCTCAGACAGGTTATTGAGCTCGAATCGGATACTAGATAGAAGAGGAGAAGGAAAGCGAAAGCTCAACTCCAATGTCATCGTCTTTTACCGTTCAGGTCATAAGCGCAACAGTATTTGTCATTCGTTTGTTAAACATGCATCTGGCCTGGAACTGGACCCGGTGCATTTGTTAAACACATGCATCTGGCATCTTTCTGGACCCTGTGCATTTGTTCAACACATGCATCGTGGAATCGTTTTGGACTTGGTGGATTTGTTCAACACATGCATCGTGGAATCTTTTTGGACTTGGTGGATTTGTTGAACACATGCATCTGGACTCTTTCTGGACCCTGTGCGTGCATCGTGGAATCTTATTGGACTTGGTGGATTTGTTAATCACATGCATCTGGACTGTTTCTGGACCCTGTGCATTTCAAGTTGGACCCCCCCTGCTTCAGCACTGAAGTCACCAGCGCACCATCAACTCGCCCTTCTTAAAGAACAGCGCGAACCAATAGGCGCCCTACCGTCTTCACGTGAATAGAACTCTGCCCTGGCATCATGGCTGTATCTAGCCTGACTGTTGATTAAATACATGTATAATGACCGGGCGTTCTGTTCTATTCGGTTGAAAACGTTCAGATGCATCCAGGTCTTGCCGTAAATGCGTCCAGATACATATAAAATTGAGCAAGTGTGAGTCGCCCTGGTGTCGCCAGCCGTGGGCGGGACAACAGACTGAACCGTACCGTCTTCACCCGAATAGAACACCGGACCGGGTGTTGTATTCGCCGGGTGAAGACGGGTAGTTGAAGAGCTCGTATGGGACGCCCCCTGTCTGCCTGACTGCCACCTTTATTCGAATACAACACACGGACATTATATCTGTAAATGGAACGACTTTCAGTCTATTCACAGCAAGTAGAATGCACGGTCATTGTCGAAGTATATGGCACAAGGATGACACGCTTCAATCGAGAAATGGTCCAAAAAAAATAAAAAAAATAAAAAATGCAGCAAGTCGCTGCGGCCAGCCTGGTTTGCTGGTACCCTGACACTCTGACTGGTGTGAGGCTGGCCGCAGCGACTTGCTGCGTTTTTTTTTTTTTTTTTTTTTTTAATGTGTCGAAGTATATGGCACAAGGATGACACGCTTCAATCGAGAAATGGTCCAAAAAAAAAATTAAAAAAAAAAAAAATGCAGCAAGTCGCTGCGGCCAGCCTGGTTTGCTGGTACCCTGACACTCTGACTGGTGTGAGGCTGGCCGCAGCGACTTGCTGCGGTTTTTTTTTTGTTTTTTTTTTTAATGTGTCAGGGTACCAGCAAACCAGGCTGACCTGATTTTGCAGTTTGATGATTATATGCCTTCGTTTGTTGTCCTCTTCTTCTCCCTCTCTGCCTACGGTTTACCGGGCCTGATTTGCGGTCAGATGCATCCGACTTTGCTGTTTGACGATCTATGTATATGTGCATATGTATATATATTCCTTTTTTTTTTAAATCGATATATTTAATATTATTATTTATTCATTTATTTTTGGCACATGGGCCCATGCTAATCTTCTCCGTATCGCCCCAATTTTAACGGATGTCCCCAAGGGGACACCACACATAATTCTTGAAGTTTTAACAATCAATCAATCAAAATCCTCCTATGCGTGTCATCCTTGATTTTGTGGGGGCCATTTTGTTAATTACCCTTCTCTGTATCGTTCCAATTTTTACGTGTGTCCCGGACACGCATAATTCGAGGAATTCGAAAGGGAAAAAAGAAAAAACATTCAATTGACACGGCAGAACGCCATTTAAAATAAATGTGAGGTGAGAAACAAATATATGGCTTTCCCCCGATGAGTAGAAGGCAGCTTTTTTTGAAAAAGAAAAAATAAAAGAAAAAAAAGAAAAAAAAGAAAAAAAAGAAAAAAAAGAAAAAAAAAGAAGAGAAGAAAAAAAAAGAAGAGAAGAAAACAAAAGAAGAAAAAAGAAAAAGAAAGTCGTTGCACGAATATGCCCCGGTCGAACAGTTGACTCGGAACGAGGCTTCGAATTGTTGAGCTACAGAACATTATGCACGTATCTGGACCGTTTTCTACACCAGATACACTTGCCATCCCAGCTTTTTTTTCTTTAATTGCTGTTGTTTCTCTTATTTTCACTTTGCAGTCCCAATGTGTTGTTGAATGTATCGGGACCAATGTCAACTCCAGATACATTTCGAATGTTGTTCAGAGAGCGACTCCCTACGCGGCGTCTTCATCAGAGTCCCGCCGACTCGCCCTGGCATTTCTCATTCCACCAATTCGGTCTTCTGCTCTAGTCCTTGGCCCCGAATAGAACGCACTGTCCTTATGGCTGTATTTGAAGCATCTCCCAGTCTTGATACAGCGACAATGTCTGTGCATTCGTTGTAGTCGTGTGAAGTCGGGACAAGTTTTTTGGTAGCCGTCTATGGGAAATCGTCATCTATAGATCTTGAAAGAGATATCTTAAAATGTATATTTCGAAATTATATATAACGTTGTTAATTTCAATATTTATATACGTGTTGGATTGTTTTGCACTATTTTATTAGTATTTTGATTTTAAAATTTTCCATATATATGTATATTTGTTAATGTGTCGTTTGGATTAATTTTGTTTTTGCATGAAAAAACTATTTTGACTTTCAATTGCCAGGTGAACTCCGCCGAGCAGAACAACGCCTCAGCCACCACTGCAGCGGACTATGCTGTGTACGTGAAGGGACTGCCCATGGCCAAGCTCACCAATGAACAGATCGCAGGATTTTTCACTCATTACGGCGAAGTGTCGGCAGTGGGAATGACTTTCAAAGGTGAGAGATCTCATCGCTTAGTTAATTAAAAAGCACACCTGTACTCATACTAGAATTTGGCACTGTGTATGTGGCCGAGATTGTGGCAAATGGGTGGAGTAGCATTCCGTGTTTGCTGTGGCGTATGTGCGGCTGAAGTGTCTGTTGCATGGGCTTTGCTTACATAGTGTGTGTGTGTGTGTGTGTGTGTGTGTTTGTGTGTGTGTGTGTGTGTGTGTGTGTTGATGTACTCTTTGTTCATGTTGTTTTGAGTTTGGGTTGTTAACTTTGTGTGCTATGAGTGCTATGCATAGATGCACTATGTGTGCTATGCCCTATGTATAGATGTACTATGTGTGTGCTATGTATAGATGTACTATGTGTGTGCTATGCAGACATGTACTGTGTGTGTGCTATGTATAGATGTACTATTTGTGTGCTATGCATGCTAAGCATCTACTATACCGTGTGCTATGTGTGTGGTGTGTATAGATGTAGTATGTGTATGGTGTGTATAGATGTAGTATGTGTGTGGTGTGTATAGATGTAGTATGTGTGTGGTGTATAGATGTACGATGTGTGTGCTATGTGTAGATGTACTATGTGTGCTATGCATGCTAAGTATGTTCTGTACCGTTTGCGTGCTATGAAGATTTGTACTACGTGTGGTGGTTTGTGTGCTATTCATCTGCTATGTGTGCTATGCAGACCAGTACTATGTGTGCTATGCATGCTAAGCATCTACTATACCGTTTGTACTATGTGTGGTTTGTACAACGTGATGCAGACATAGTGCACATGCATGCTATGAAGATTTGTACCATGTGTGGTTTGCGTGCTATTCATCTGCTATTTACCTGCTATGTGTGCTATGAGTGCTATGCACACATCTACTCTGTATGCAGTAGATGCTGACCATGCAGTGTGCTGTTGCATAGACAGCGAAGACTGACCGGACGATCTTGTTATGTCTGTCGTTATGCTCTTTTGCCTTGGCAGTGGGCGAGCTTCTTCTAGCGGACGAGGAGCTGCAGAAGCTTGAGTACGTGCCTCACTCACCACCTTCGTCCTCCTTCAGAAGCAACGAGTAGACTCCACGTGTTATCTGACGATTGTGTGATATCGCTCAGCATACAAAACGTGGAGGGAGTCGACGAGTCGGAAATGAGTCGAACAGTCGAAGCAATCAGTAGACTGAGAATACACCGTACTAAAAAAAAAAAAAAAAAAAAAAAAAACGAATACACCGTACAAACAGTACAATGATTGGATCAAGCAATCAGTCCAAGCCGGTTTGGACGGCCACCACGTGGTCATGGGGTAGCTTTCTACGTACGGAGCGTGGGCGATCCCGATGACCATGACCACGTGGTCGGTAAAGGCTACCCCAGCCGGTTTGGACGGCCACCACGTGGTCATGGTCATGGGGATCACCCACGCTCCGTACGTAGAAAGCCAAGCATTCCAGAGTCGCTTATATTTCTTCTTTTTTTTTTTTTTTACGATTCCACAGGCCAACCTCCTTCAGGAGCTGAATTTTCGTTGAAAAGACGGGCTGGCAAGGGTGACTGGAAGATCTTGTTATGTTATGTTTGATCTTGGATATCGAAGTGAAAGCAAGAAGAATGAAGGACAATTTTGCAAATGCTCCCTGACCCACTGAATGTCTGAATCTCTTTGCTTAACTGCCATAGCCATAAGAAAGACGTCATCGAAGGATGAAATGTGGCGGAATGTAACTGCATCTGGACTGGAAAGTGGACCAAATACAGCTCCATCGAAGGATGAAATGTGGCGGAATATAACTGCATCTGGACTGGGAAGTGGACCAAATACAGGTGGATCATGTTTCCGACTCGAGGAGGAAGATGTGGCGGAATATAACTGCATCTGGACTGGAACGTGGACCAAATACAGCTGCCTCGGAATATAACTGTGTAGTGAGAGAGGGGACTGTGTCATAGAGGCGGGTGATGTTTGCTGAAGATCACAGCGAGATGTGGGGGATGGGCAAAGGGGGCAGCAGTTGTATTGCTAATGGGAGGAAGAGGGGTTTAATTAATAGGTGGAGATTGGGAGAGGTGGAAGGTGATGGGTTCAGTGAGAGGTATGTGTACTACAAAGACGGGAAAGGGAAATTTGCGAAGGGGCTGTTTTAAGTTGGGTTTGGAGCGAAGACGGATCCGATGACAAGGCAAAGGAATCTTACATGATCGTGGAATAGAGAGCGGAGATGGGAGAGGTGGGTGGTTAGGTATGTTTTGGGACAGAGAAGCAAAAAGAGTGCTGAGTGGTACCACCTGCTTTTACCAGTACCACTAGCACTGCAGGGATTGTTGTTAAAAAAAAAAAAAAAAAAAAAAAAGAAGAAGAAGAAGAAGATGAAGAAAGAGTGAATCGGAGAGGGGGGACTCGATGACAAGGCTAACGAGGCTGGATGTTTTTTGTGTTCTCTTGCAGGATGAGCTTGAATGAGCTGATAGCCAAGGACAAAGGTGTGGAGAAGAGCATAGAGAAGGAATCCTGCTACTGGCTCCTTGGCCGTCTAGTTGGATGGCTGTACTGGTTATATGTAGTCGGCAGCTGTGCGAAAGGCGCTCAGGCTGAGGAGGACTTGCGTGCTCAAATTCGGCGCAAGAGAGCCTATATTGAAGATTTGAAGAGGGAGTTGAGGCGTGATGTAAGCAAGCTCTCTGATCTTTACTGCTCGTGTAGGAGAATTAACCATGGTAAAAAAGTGAAGGGA